CCGCACCTTCTGCTGACACTAAAATATCCTCTAAAAATCTTCCAGCATCCGACTAACATTGCAATGTAAATGTTGTATGAATTGGCTGTATATTTATTTTTGCCCTTTTTTTGCTTTTTTTTTTATGATTTGTTGTAATTAATCCGTGCAATACCTCATCTGTTAAATCTGTAAAGTTCGTCACACATCCTCACCGTTAAAGACTCCTCTCATCCCGTCATTAGAAAGCACTTAACGCCGCCATCAGCACAGTGTGGAGACAGACGCCCGGGGCCACATTTCATTATTCACGGTATCAAACACTAGGAGTCTGAACTGGAGTCTTCGTGGGCTCGTTGTTGTTTTGTGTTCATTTCTTGTTTTCGTTCCTCGTGAAGGAGACTGCAGAGGGAGACGTAAAGGTGCGACCAAACAGGCAGGATCCTCTTTGTGTTCTGACAGCGGTCGGTTTAAAAACGCGATATAACACTATTTTTCTTACCGTGCTTCTTTTCGTACCTCCGAGTTTCCTAATAAATTGTAAGTTTAGTCGTGTTATTTTTCCTCATGAACCCTTTTTTTGACCAAAAATGCGGCGGCTCGGTCGCCTCGTGTGGATTTTCAACTTTACGTTTTTTATTAATGACGTTAAAAGCCGTTTATTTGCACACAGTTTATATGATAGTTACGTTTTGTGTTTTTTCAGGTGTGCATTTGTCGAGTCGTTTTCATGTCGTCTCGAGCAGGTTACTGTGACCGTGACCCTTTTAAGAAGCTAAAGGGTTAATATGTCGACCTTTAAAAAAACAGGACTACAAACATGGCGGAGGACGTTTCGCCCTCTTTGGCTTGATACAGAAACATGTTCTGCGCAGGGTAACGTACGCACACACACACACACACACACACACACACACACACACACACACACTGTGGCATTTGTGAAATGATAGAAGTTTTGTTCTTAACGTCTGGTTGGTTGTTTTTGTTGTGACGTCATTCCGTTACTTTTTCTGCAGGAGGGCAAACATCCAAACGGCGCTCCGGACGGTATTTCAAAACAAATTTCACGTCATGCAAAAGAACTAAAACATTAAAAGATAAAAAATATAATTCATCCTCTTCCAGTTAACAAAATATAATTTTATGCAACGCGACTGTAAATGCCTCGTCGTGAAGAATAATACGTTTTTAAAAAGAGCAAATAATAATAAACCAAATGTGGCATTTGCAAGCAGCTTGTGGGTTTGGCGATGCCTGTGAAGAGAAATAACCCCACGCTCGTTTTAACTGTTCGTGTTAAGAGTTTTTAACGTCCTCCAACGAGGCTTTAATGCTGCATCGAGAAGCCGAGATACTGAACCTGTGAAAAGGGGGTGGGTGGGGGGGGAGGGGCAATGAGAATACTAAATTGTATACTTAAATAAATGTTAATATTTACAGAGAAATTTGTGTCTCGTTCTTTGTCAAAGTTCTGCTTCAGAGGAGACGATGATGTAATCTGCTGCCATAAGATCAGTCCGATGCTTTTATTTTGTCGTTCTCTTTACTAACAGATGTTGTTTAGTTTAGTACATGGAGAACAACACGCTGTACCACCGTGTTTTAATTAAACCTCTTCAATCAGAAACTCACTCAATATCTAGAGTTCAATCATGAAACTGATGAAGTTTCAACAGGACTCTTTACGGTCACGTGACTCTGTGGACGTTTGAATCATTTCATTCTTCATTTGGGGCCAAAACTATTTCACATGTAAATAAAACATTTAGTGTGTCTCTTTATCTCGGTTCCAATAGTTACAATTGAAGGAAAGAGGAAGAAGGTCAATGTAGAAGCTGATGACAGACTCTAGAACATCACAGGTAGTCTGTCTGTGTGGAAGGTAACGGGTACGTTTGTGAAACCGGTAAGTGATGCTATTCATATTAAAGCTGCTGTGAATTCTTTGCTTGATTGTTTTGGGAGAAGACAGACGTTCATGGTCCCCAGAGGATGAAGCTCAGTGGCGTTAGTACTCTGAACTCTTTGGGTTGTACCAGTTTAAAGAAAAAGATATTGTGCAAAAGAAACCTACACAATACTTGAATACAATCATTTAAAATAAGTGGGATGATTTTAATGTACATGTATCGGTAACCAGGTAAAACGTAACGCTTTATTAAAGATGCGAAGCGATGTAATGAGGAGGTCACAGCGTCTCTCAGGGCTCCCTGAGGGGAGTCCATATTTACTTTGAACAGCTGTTTTGTGTGTGTGTGTGTGTGTGTGTGTGTATGTGTGTGTGTGTGTTTTAAGCAGACTGGATTAGAAACTGATTCATATACAGATGTATTTCTCTGCCAGCTGATATCAGATCACACTGTACTGATCTCTGTTTGTAGCATTCACAGACTGTATGAACTTACTTTACAGTCTCATTAGTGATGGAAGAAGAAACCGGATCCTTTACTTCAGTAAAAGTACCAAAGTATTAGCATCAAAATATACTTAAAGTACCAAAAGTACTCATTATGCAGAGTGGTTGATTTCAGAATAATCTATATATTTGTTATTGGATTATAATTAGTGAGGCATTAATGTTGCAGCTATAAAGGTGGAGTTATTTTATATACTGTTGGATAGTTTAATGTATAATTTTACATAATGTATTTCAATATATTTTGTATTAATAATTTAAATCTGCAATGTAACTGTACTCCACTACATTTATCTGACAGCTTCAGTTACATTATAGAGTAGCATAAAGTGGAAATACTCAAAGTACCTCCAAAGTGTACTATACCATTCTATAGTTGTATGTGGAACAGTTGTACTATATACCACTGGGCTGTAATTACATTGCATGAACATAAAAAAATAAAATAAAACTCACATCATCAGGCCTGTTTCACACGACTGCGCAGAACACCAGAAGTTACATTTTTTTGGGGGGCGAATGCGCCAACAAGCCGTCCTCATCGGACAGATTAGACTCGATCTCAAGCTCCGGTTTTCAGTTGTATAAAGTATCCGTGGTTTATCCTCAGGAGTGTGATGGACATTCCCATTCAAATCAATGTCGCTGAATGGTCAGAGCGGCGGCCATTTTTATGTGTAGCGTTTGCCATTGCGACCGTTGTAGCGGACTAACTTCCATTTAAACTAAACGGAGACACGGAAAGTCGCTGACTCACTGAGGCGAGGTTGTGCAGTAACTAATAAAACAAGCTGTGGAGTAGAAACGTTAAGCTTATTGAGACAGAATAACAGAGTTTAATTTAACGACTCAATGCTTAAAACACACATTCTTGTCACAGCGTAGTAAAGCACATTGCTAACCAGACGAGCTTTGTTCGGCTCGTTTTCTGTAACCAGTGTAGCATTTAAATATCGTGGAATTAGCAAGCTGGCTAGCTAGCGAGCTTGCTAATTCCACCATGTTTTAATGCTACATCGTAACAGAAAATGAGCTAAACAGCAGGCCGGGTCCAACGGTCCAACAACCGCCATTTTTGCCATTTTTGCCATTTTACGAGTCAGATGAACACGGAAAACAGTTTAATGACCGTTCTACTCCTATTCCATTTCTGCCTTGTCAGGCTCAGCTCTACACTGTCGGACTGAGCTGAAAGATGTCAGACTCAGCTATGCTTTGATTTATTTATGGTGTGTCAGCATTAATTTAATGCACAGCTCAGCCGACATGTAGCTCATTAGTTTCCGAAGTATCCTGTTGTAGCAGAGGTTTGTTTTTTTACTTTTGATTTTATGAAACCTGCAGTTTGCTTTAATGTAAAACCAAATAATCATCTGTCATTTACACTGTAATGAACAAATCGTGTGTGTGTGTGTGTGTGTGTGTGTGTGTGTGTGTGTGTGTGTGTGTTGATGGACAGTATAAGCTGCAGCTGCTGCAGTCGGCTCACGTAACAGCTCCGTCCGTCTTAAAGTTGAATCCCTCTGTGAGCTGTCTTTTATTACAGAACACACAGAGCTGATCCTCCTCTCAGGTCACCAACACGTGAAGCCGCTGAACTGTAACAATGTCTGCAAGACATGTCGTGTGTTACGAGAAGAGTCGCTCTGAGCAAAACCACCGATTTAAGATTTCGTAGGTAAGAAACGTTCTGCCCTGATAGGCAGGGGAAACACCACCTGCATGCATGTCGGAGGCTTCCTCCTCACTTCCTGTCTGTATCTCAACGTGTATGTATGTATGTAGTATGTATGTGTGTGTGTGTGTGTGTGTGTGTGTGTGTATATGTATGTGTATATATATATATATATGTATATGAAAAACACTCTGGAAGCTGAGTTAAGCTCAGAGACATAGCAAAGATACTTCCATTTGAAGGCAGTAACAAGCCTCCATCCTGCACCTCAACTACATTTAGGAAGCTGCTGCTTTTCCATCAATCGGCGTCCAGCTTTGAAAACTGATCTTTTTAAATACATTGTTTTTGTTTTTAACAAGTATAACCAAGACAAATAAATAAAAAAATGAATCCCAAGAAAGCCGACTTTTTGGACAAAAGAAAAACAAAACTGATATATACACTGACTAAATATACGACGAACTGTTTTGATATCAAAAACTGTGGAAAGTCACAAACAACGTGACATAATTACCAACCAAACTTTGCAAGGTGTGGCATGCTTCACAAAAAGCTCGCCAGTAGTTTTGAAGAAACCGGACGGAAAATAAAAAAGGGGAAAATGTAGAAATGTCCCAGGAGGATTTGAAGGCAACAATAGCTCATTGTAGCTTTAATTTACCATGATCTTAAAGACATCTTAAAGAACGTTATTCTGATCCTGAGTCACTGAAGAAAAGACACTTGTGTTAAAATGAAAGACTGCTGGAGAACCTTTTTCACACACGTGTAGACCGAGTCACAACATAAACTTTATTTCTCCACACATCGGTCTTCACAGTCGGTTTCACACGGTAACAAAATACAACAACGTCTGAAACGGACAGAAAGGCAGTCTGCTGCTACGACATGTGACGAGTTCAATAGGGTGCTGTTTAAAAAGTGACATTTTAGTGTGAAATAATAATGAAATGTTTCAATACAAAGTGAGAAGAGTTCAGGTGAGTTCAGGCCTGTGACAGAGCCACCTGAAACGACAAACATCACACACCTGTTAAAGTTACTGCACACACAAATAACCTAAAAAACACAGTTATGCTGGAGACATACTTTAACTACATATGATGCTGCATTGAATAACAGTGACAAAATGTCCCCGGATATCATACGTTTTGTATATCTTAGGAAAAGTTAGGAAAAGGCGATGTAGTCATCGTGACGTCACCCATTAGTTTGTGGACTGATGTTATGAAGCCATGAGTTTGTCAATTTGGCCGTCACCATCTTTTTTCCCCACAACCACAGTAACGGAAGTGACCATATTAGGACTGAGGAGGAGTGATGTCAATCACCGTGTAGCTCCGCCCTAAAGCATCCCCTGCTTTATGGTCTGTTTGACTCTAAATGGACCATAATGTACTAAATGAACATCATGCTGTATTGAAGAAGACTTGAAACTAGAGATTGAGACCATAAACTCATGTTTACAATGTTTACTGAGGTAATAAATCAAGAGAGAAGTAGAGTCATTTTCTCATAGACTTCTATACAACCAGAGGAGTCGCCCCCTGCTGGACATTAGAGGGAATGCAAGTTTTAAGACACTTCCGCATCGACTTCACTCGGCAGAACTTGGTTCGTACCCCCACTGAGGGGGCCTAACAGACTTTGGAGGCTAAATTATGTCTTTCACTTAGACTAAACAAAATTCCTTCAAAGTAAGATCTGTCAGTGACAGCCTCACAGGAAGTCTTACCCTTTTTAAGGACCCGATGCTGCTCTCGCGGATCGCCGCCATCAGGTCGTCGCGGCTCGACATCTGCGGTGACGGCGTTGGCGGAGGAAGGCTCGAAGGTTCGTCTCGTCTCTTCTGGAGCGACGGCTTTAAGGCGTTCTTCAGGTCTTTGAGAATATCTGCGCTCTCCTTCTCGTTGGCGCCGTTCTTGAGCTTCTTTGACTTTGTCTTTCTTTGGTTTAACTGAGTCTTCGTCGTGTTCAAGCCTTCGTGCCGTTTGACCATTTCGGAGATCTTCCTCGTCGGCGGGTCTAAAGACAGAGGAGGAGGAGGGTGTCTTTTCTGGTTCTCAACAGTCTTAGAAGATTGCGACGTCTTCTTTGGGGGTCTGTTTACTGCAGATGAACCAGGACCTTGTCCCGACACCTCTGGAGGACTCTGCTCCTTGTTCTGTCGGAGCCTCCGCTGTCGCTCTTGGTCCTGGTTGCGCGTCAGGATGCTGGTCGCTGTCATCCTCGGGCCCGGGAGGTCGAACTGGTAGCCGAGCTTGAGCAGGGTGGTGTTTTCCCTCAGCAGCTGGACCATCTCCATCTCCACCTTACCCCCGCACATGTGCCTCTGGTTGTGAAAGCGCAGCTCCACCAGCGTCCTGTTGTGCTGCAGCGCTGCCAGCAGCGCCAGGATGCCCTGACCGGACACGAAGTTGGACTCGATGTTCAGGTTCCTGACGAAGCGGTTCTCGCTGAGCATCTGGGACACGGCGAGGGCCACGCGGTCATCGGCGTGGGTGTTGGCGAGGCTGAAGACGTGGACATGAGTGTTTGCGCGCAGGGCCTTGGCGAAGCATAGCAAGGTCTCCTGGGAAATGTCCTCAATGTTGTTCAGGTTGACTTCGCTCACGCCAGGGTCGTCGCACAGGATCCGCTCCAGAGTTTCGGCGACGACGGTCGGGTTCCCGCTCGCTCTGTCGGTGGTTGGGTTCAGGTTTTGGTCTGTGGTTTCGGTCCTCCTCGGTTCGCTCTTTGAGCCCTTCGACAGACTTTTCTTCTGAGGACATTTACTCCTCATCGGAGCCTCCTTCTTACACTCGTCTTTCTTTTCCGCCTCATCTTCCTTCGCGAGAATACTCGCTTTCTTCCCCTTTTGTGAAATCTTCTTCCTGTCGCCGTCCAGAGTCTTGCCGGTGTCGCCGGTGGTCACTGTCGCTCGTTCCCCTCTGCTGTTATCTGGGCGTATTTCCTGCACATGATAACGGAACAGAAAATTTGCTCGAACCGTGACATTCTCCAGACGCCGGCATTTAATTAGGCACCCTCTCTAACGCTGGCAGACGGTCATTAAAGCTGGCATTTCTCTGAAAGTCTATATTTTTAGACTGCTTTCCACCAACACGTTTAAACTGGACTCATGTGACACTAATTATATTCATCATACCAGTGGGTTTATGTTTGAACACACGATAAACATGTATGTAGAATTTAACAAAAGGAAACAAACATGTAAGGACACTTAAAAAGGCTTGATATCAAAACCGCAATTGATTTTTGGCCAAATATGCCCAAGTATGACTCAGAAGTACTTTATTTCTAGCATTGAATGTGTACTCCAGTGGTCTAGTATTTTTAGAAATTATAGTTTAGAAAGAATTGAGGCTTATGTATTCTACCTTTTAGCCCCAAGAAACACTGGTTCCTATGTTTCCCACAATGCAACTGGACTGATCTGAACTCCACACCTGCATATAGCTTCATAGTCTCCAAACTGAGATTTTCACTGAAGACACTAAACACGAACCACAAAGAGTAAACTGATCTTCATAGTTGAACTGCTCCTTTAATCCCAAGCTGAATCTGAATCTGTTTTCTCATTTAAGACAATTAGAAAATAAATAAAGATTATACTGTAAAATATGAGCTCTGTTCGATTTATTGCTACTTTGCAGATTTCAGATTATAAACTCAAAATACAATCAATTTATAAATTATTATATATTTTTAGGAATTCAGACAGCCGGCAGTATATAATGTAAATATATAAATGACTGATATAATATAAAAGGTCAAATTAGCTCCACCTTTAACCGCTGCAACATTAAAGTGACGTTCACATTAATGAACCAATTATTATAATCCAATAATAAAATATATCATTCTGCATGATGAGTACTTTGTATATTTACTACTATTGTGCTGAAAGGTCCAGTGTTTTAGGAGTATTTATTGGCAGAAATTGAATACAATATTCATGTTTTCATTGGCGTATAATCACCTGAAACTAAGAATGATATAAGAATGCATCACATGCAACATTTACAGATTATTGATTGGTGACGTTTTAAATCTGCTCTTGCTGCTGCTGAGAGTCGGCTGCAGGTGAGATCTGTTGGGTTTTTTTCTAAATCGAACCAAGATGTTAAACAAACATGGATGTTGTGAAAAGCATCATGGGAAATGATCCTTTGATAGTTAAAACAGGCAGTTATGGTCATGTTAGGCATGTTTCACACCAACAAAGAGTTGCACCTAACTTTAATACGAGATTAAAATGAAGAAAGATCGAATTTAAAATTTCTTTTTTACTTCAAACCTTCAATTTAATTCATGTTGCACCAGAACTTTACAGTTGAATATTACCTTTACAATATATATGAGTTAAAGTCCCCCTCCTTTTGTACAGCCTACTTACTTAGTCCAGACAGCATGCAAGTTTATTGATTTCAATTTGGGCAAGTCATAGTTTTTAATTGATTTAAACCTGATATACTCATATTAAACCTAGTTTTGTGAAACTAATCTTGTATTAAATGAATCCTCGTTGGTTCGACCCAGCCTCGATGTGTTAAACCAGCAGACAGAGGACCGATGTCTCACCTGTCCGCCGTTGGACTCCGTCCTCTCGTCCTCCGTCCTCTCGTCCTCCAGCAGCTTCTTGTTCTCGTCCTCCCAGTATTTCAGCAGAGCGTCCCGGTCGAAGCTCCCCGTCGGGGTCTTTGCGGTCTGGTCTTTCTGCCTCAGGCCGATGGGGACATTGTCGTCCAGGTCGGCCAGCTCCCTCTCCAGCTCCTGGAGCTCCTCGGAGGACAGAGTGGCCAGCAGCTCGTCTTCGTCCACCTCCTCGGACTTCTTCGGCTCCCGGCGGTACCCAAAAGTACTCATGGTTCTGCGCTGGTTGTAGGACTCTCTGAAACCTCTTCTTGTACTTTTATCTCCTTGTGCACTTGATGAAATCTTCCCTCAGTTGTTTTCCTGCTCGAGTCTCCGCGTTGACTTGTCCTCCATCAGGTTCCTTCAGGTCTGAATGGCGAGTCGGAGAGAGTCCTCGTTCACCTACTGGTCCCAGCTGCCAGAGGGGCCTGACGGGGAGAGAGGGGAGGGGGCCCGCTGATCGACCCTGTCTTTTTTTAGGGTTAGGGTTAGGGGGTCCATGAGATAGGCTTACAGCAGGAATGCGAGCCCTCTGAGTGGCCTGTGGGAGAGCTCATCAGCGACTCGCGCCTCCAAAAGAATCGAAGGGGAACAAAACGCCGTGGGGAGACATCGGAGATGAAGCTCTGCGGCGTTACGCGTCGTGACTCAGAAACACGACGTGGTTGTGTGTTGCTGTCAAGGAAACACTTGTTCTCCCCGAGGATGGTGGGATTATGTGCAGTCCAGAGAAGGTGAAGCCTGGTGCTGTTTACACCAGAACAAACCCACTTCATGGCAGTGCACACTGAGCCATCAGAGCCTTTCAAATGCATAACACTCCACTAAGTGGCAACAAAGCCACTTAGTTAGGTTTAGAAGAAACATCATGTTTGGGCTTAAAATAAACCTAAAATAATCACATAAACAACGTGACATAAGAACGGAAAACAAACATTATAACGTAACTTCAAAATAACTCGTAAACACTGATCTCCAGGAAGAGCGTCGGGATTTGAAGAAAGGGCTGTGGATAAGACTTCTATACAACCAGAGGAGTCGCCCCCTGGTGGACACGAGAGAGAATGCAGGTTTTCTCGGATGTTTAGCGTCCACACTGCTACTGCCAGCCCTTCTGTCATACAGTTTGCCTTTTTGTATTTCATTATAAAGCGTAAACAAACTAAACATCGCACTCATCAGAGCGTAAGATGTTGTCATTATTGTGTCCACTCCAGTACTCTATGTCACATGAGTAACACGTGTATGGACGTGGAGGACTGACCTTCAGTTTTGTGTTGTTTATGATTCTTGTTGGAGGGCTGGTGGCCTGTTGTTTGGTTTCCAAGACAGCCAACAGAGCTCAGTAAAGACATGCGTCCATCACTGATTCATGTTTAACAAGATGCTTTGGAAGTCGACTCGTGTTACACGTCCGAAGTGAAAAGACTCAGTGACATGACACCGCTCTCATCCCACAGCGGCTGTAAATGTGACCGTTTGAACCGGTACTCTCTGGTCAGATAATATGGCCGACGTCTTCACATTAAAAACATTGTCCATCAACTCTGACTGTTTGAGCACCAAGCATCATGAATTAAACGGAGTCCTCCTCCTCTGGGCCACCAGAGCCCTGCTCTCTGTCCTGATGTCCGCCCGTCAAGTGCAGCTTGATCCTGGACCACCATGGATCCAGGTCTCTGTGAAGATGGGGGCTCAACAGTCACCGACCTGCCGCTGCTTTCATTCATCTGATTTTTCTGCGACCGGGCTTCAGACAGCCAGGAGCATGCTGGGTAGTGGAGTAGCCTCAGGTCCTAGCTGGGTTAGCTTAGCTTCCATATGGGCTCTCCTCCCTGTCCTCCCTGGGGCAGTTTGGTGTCGTGTCTGGCTGCTCTTAATCCCCCACGCTTTCTCCACAGATGTTGATGAATATATTCTGTCATATGCCGTTACTGCTCCGATAGTCAACACGAACAAAACAAATCAAAACAAAAATGTAGCAGAATTCATGGGAGCAACTGGCTGCAGCAAGTACAGCTCGTTCTGCTGCCCACAAGTGGGCAAACATTTAAATTAAGGCTTTAACTTGAGTTCAATTGAATCCAAACAGACAGGAACATGTCTGCAGTGGGGCTACTGAATGGAGTGTTATGTCACCTGAAAATCCCGCGCTATGTTACACACCTCTTGTTTCATTGTCTCACTTTAATCTCTTCGTGCTTTGCTTTGTTTTATCACATTAACACACCTGCTGTTCTATTTTATTTATTTATTTTTTACAGCTGCCTCAGAGCTGACCCGGCCTGCCGGTGGTGTCAACAGTTTGGAGGTCGTTCAAGCCTTTTGTCTGTTATCAGGTTCTCGGGTGACCCGCCAGAATGTGGAGCCACGTTGTTGTTGTGGTTGTTCCTGCAGGTCAGGAGGTTAAAATTAGAGTCGATCTGCTTTCACTGTCTGTCAGCCAGAGGAAGCAGCTCACACGTCCTCAATGTGGTCACTTTGTGTGTGTTGATGTTCAGCGCTACAGCTGGAAGTTTGCTCAGTTGCAGTTCCTCTAATGGCCACTAGATGGCCATGTCAACACAATACCTACAACTTTAGTCCAGACTGAAATCTCTCTGCAACTACTGGATGAATTGACTTATTTGGTTGCACATTCATGTATGTATTTAAGTATGGATGTTATTGAGGTTGGTGATCACAGCAGGTCAAACTGCTGGATGTATCCAGTGAACTGATTCCACAATCAACACATGGATTGGTCTTAGAAGGGGACACCATCTATTTGGCATTTTCCTCTGCCATCATCTCAGTTATTTTTACTGATGTGAAAAAAAAAAAGGAGCTAGTTTTTTTGATCCTGTGACATTAAGATGTCGGCTTTTATTTGAGAATTTACAGTAGTTAGGTTCTTGATGTTCTTTTTGGTTATTTAATGGTCTGAACATCAGCTGCTCTGTTACAGTTTCCACAAACAGAGTCACAGCTAAGAGGTTCTGTCCTCTAACACTTGATGAAGTGACTGATCAATAGTTACCTGTAGCTATTTAAGGGTTAATAGTAACAATCATAATAATGCTAGTAATAATGCCATTTTGAAACAACGTGAAGATAAAAATAAACATACAGTTGATTAGAGATCTGGTCCTGTAAGTGGGAGTAATAAATCCAGGCCCCGTTACATAAACCAGATGTCACTACTGACATTTAAGACTCGGTAGATAAGACAGACGTCCCCTCAGTCCTCCCCACAGATGAGTTTGGGGTACAGGTCGTTGTCTTTGAACAGCAGGTAGTCCTTCAGCCGGTTGGGCAGCTGGACGGACATCAGAGCGCTGCAGCTCAGGTGTTTCCTGATCACCACTCTGCTCAGGTGAGACAGAGAGCGAGGGTTACCTGGAGATCACAGAGAGCAGCAGTTTGGACACGTTTATCTGGATATTTGGATAAATGACACAATAAGAGGAGCTACGTCTCCTGGTTTTGATGTGTCATGGCAGCTTTATAGAGACTAAGTCCCGCCCCCATGGGATTTTATTTTGGAAAAAATATGTTCGCCAATTAACAACGAGAGAGAAATCATTTCCTGACACTGTTTGAAATGTGCCATGAATTACACAAGTTTGTCAATTCAAAATATAATTTTATAAGTTTATTTACTTCTCACTGAAAATGTGTAAATAGTTGCCGGGACATTTATAAAGCAGGCTTATATTAGAGACGTGTCTTTATTTCTAACTTCAAGTATACTTACTAACTTTTCTGACCTAATTTCCTGTCGCAGTTTATCGTGTGAAGCCGCTCATTGAACTACATCTCTCGTCTCGCAAAACGTACGTCACCAACATGGTCGTTACCTTGGCTAGCTGGCTAGCTAGCTTAGCTATATCCTTGCATACATGTAACGCTCTCTTACCTGATTTGTTTTATCAAGTGACTCTTTTTATCAGCCTTTAAAAGAAAAGAGGCGGCAAGACCGGTTGTTGGTGAGAGTACTTCCTGGTACGAAACATCGAAGCATCGTAGCTTCAGAGAGAGACGTCACATACGCTACTTTCAGGTGTGTCTTCACAAATGCAACTTTCTTGACTTGCAAAATTATCTTTTAAATGGACAAACATCCCATGTGTTATTCATTAAACACTATTTAAATTGTATCAAAAATGATTTGTCCCTCGCCGTTGACGACCGTTTGTATTTTTTATGAAATAAAGTCCGGCGGTGGTCCAACGGAAGGGGCGGGACTTCACCACACCGTTAACTCACGCGTGCTCCTGTGAATGTGAGGCCACTCCTTGTGTTCCTCCAGGATCTTTGTCAGTTTGCCGCAGAGGGAAACCGGACCGACGTATTCGAGGAGGATCGACACGACTCGGCCCACCAGGTTCACCAGACAGGAGACGCTGACGAAGTCACAGAACTGATGACAAAAACATTTATTGGAATCAGTTGGTTATTCAATTTACAACTAATATATTAAATATTAAATAAATAAAAATAATTCTATTTTAGAAATATATCACACAAATTATGGCTACGTGCACTTTTATTTCAGCTTGAAGATTTTTTGCACATATTGGAAAAAATTATTTATTTTGAAAAAATGTGTTTCGCTCATGAAGATTGAAATTTCCTGAAAAAGCAACAAGCAGACCCTCAGTGACGATTATTTCTGTCTAAGCTGCTGTTTCCAAAGACAAGAATAAGCTTTCAGACATATTTATTGATCAAAGTGGAGTTTGGTAGCAGTTGATCAAATTCGAATCCAGGCGGTTGTATGTTAATTATCATTGTTTTATGATAACCAATGTATGGATCAAGCGAGCAACGTACTGGCGTATTTTAAACAAATTGAAAAGCGGGATAAATTAGTTTTATATTACATAATGAAAGCTACAGCGAGTCATAACTAACATTAACTTCTCTTGAGTTACTTTGCTGTGCAGGATTATTGTTGTTCTTGTATAAGTTTGTCCTTCAGTTGAGTTTTTCAAGACGTGGGGTGTAGACGTTTGAATTGGGACCGGTGAGCTTTTCCCTCCATTTGAATGGCCTCTTTCACAATACTCTGCTGACAAATTAACAAAATGATATTGTAACTTACTCTCTAATGCATGTTGTAGTCTTTTTCGATTTACTTCTCTCTGATATTTCAGAACAACTATTCCAGAAAGCTGCTGTTATCTCTCACTGATGTTGTTGAAAAAATGACATATTGACATGCCGGGTGCGAGATCTTAACATTCTAT